GCTGTTTACAAATTATTTCCAATGGTGGTTGTACAAAATATTAACACAAGGTAGGGCTGTTTAACTTCCCTTGTGGAAAATTTTCTACTGATAAAAACAGGCTGGGAAATATTGTAACTAGGCACTGTGAAGGCAAGTTTTTCTCTATCCTATTCTTGTAAAAGTTTAGTTTTTTTTTTTTAAGGAAAAAAGCAGTCTTTTTAAATCAATCACTATAATAGACCATTCTTTAGGTAATAGAGAAAGCAGGAGAATTCCAGGCTGTAAGAAACCCATTGGCCGAATCACCTTATTTATGGCTCTTAAATCTGTTAACATTCTCCATTTTCCAGATTTCTTTTTAATGATAAATACAGGAGAATTCCAAGGGACTGGTCAATTCTTCAACTGATCATTTAGCTGCTCCTTTACCAGCTGTTCTACTGCCTGTAAATTTCCTGAGGTCAGAGGCCATTGTTCCACCCATGCAGGTTTGTCAGTTAACCCTTTTAAAGGTAGGGCTGTTGGTGCCTCTGAAAGATCAGGCGACTGTTCCTGATCGTATCTTTTAGTGTCTTTCTCAGAAGCATGTGTTAGTTTCTCATTTGTTTCTGAGATTAGGGAGATGTTAATCTGTGTCTTCCATTGCTGCAACAAATCACATCCCCATAAACTCATTGCTCTGCCAGCCACATATGGTTTTAATTTTCCTATCTGTCCTCCTGGCCCGATACACTTGACCCATCTTGCACTTTGTTTTACCTGAGAGAAAGTTCCAACCCCTAAAAACTGAACATTTACCTCTTGAAGAGGCCAATCTGGATGCCAACATTTTGGTAAAATTATTGTCAAATCCATGCCTGTGTCTAGTAAACCTTCAATCACAATGCCATTTATTTGTATTTTTAGCTTTGATCTTTGATCGCTTATAGAAGTTGCCAAAATACTTGTTTTATGGTTTTATGGTTTCTCCTTAATTTTTTTTTTATCTACTGAAGCTGTTCTGTCATCCAGAACAGTATGGTTTTTCACAACAGGCATTAAGTCTTTTAATTACTCTATGGAGGAGTTTCTCCAGTGGTGACAGGGAATGATTGAACCAAATTTGACAAGGAGCCTGCAAGAGGCCCCTTAAGGCGTTTTGTCATGGCAGAGGGTTACCTTGCCTGTCTCATGTTGATCTGCATTCATTAGTCTCTCCAGTGCCAGCCTTTGCCACACCTGCATACACAGAAAGCTGGGGCCTTTTTGGATTAGCTCTAGAAAAAACATTGTTCCTAGAAATGCCTTGCCTAGAGTCCCTTTTCAGATGACAGTTCAAACATCTAACATTTTGATTTTTATTAAAATTTTTAGAAATTACTCCTCCTATCCAAGTATCATGAGATCCTATATTGACTATTTTGTATCCATTCATCTATTGGTGCTGATTTTGCCTTCAAAGGCCTAATCTAATCACTCTTTGGCATTCTGAATTAGCATTTTCAAAAGCCAAAGACTCAATTAGCATTTTTCTAACTTTTGAATCTGATTGTCATTTAAGTTACAGCTGAAGTCAATCTTCCCCCCCCCCACAAAAATCAGTGAAGGCTTCTTTTGGGCCTTGTATAATTTTAGTAAATGACTCGGTCCTCTTTTCTGATTCTTCAACCCTGTCCCAAGCATTCAGAGCTGCTAAACCGCATAGAGCCAAGGTGTGATCATCCTGCTAGGAGTGACTGACTGCCTGTCCTTGCAGTGTTTTGGATATAAGTTCTGAAATCTATCCTGCTGTTTTCTTATGATTTCTTCTTTGGAGGAGGACAGGGCCCAGCCTGCTTCGATGTCACCAGTACAACAAGCAGCTTGAGTGGACTTTAACACTTGGCAAGCCTCACTTGTTCGAGTCATTCTTTCTTTGACACACAATCTTTAATTATAAATATTTCCAATTTATCAGATAATCTGGGTGATGAAATGTAATTTGATCTCAACTCTGCATTTTATTTTCACTTGTTAAAAACAAACAAACAAATCTTTGACATACCCCAATATTCTTGAGGCAGAGGCAGGTAGATCTCTAAGTTCATAGCCAGCCTAGTCTACATCGTGTGTTCTGGCCCAGTCTTGATGGAGGAGGGTCATCTGTCTATGTGTTATTTTCATTGGTTAATAAAGAAACTGCCTTGGCCTTTGATAGGACAGCAGCTTAGATAGGCGGAGTAGACAGAACAGAATGCTGGGAGAAAGAAGCAGAATCAATCAGAGAGCTGCCCACCATGAAGCTGCCATGTCAGACATGCTGAATCTTTCCTGGTAAGCCACGACCTCATGGTGAGATACAGATTATTAGAAATGGGTTGAATCAATATGTAAGAGTTAGCCAAAAAAGGCTACAGATAATGGGCCAGGCAGTGTTTAAAAGAATACAGTTTCCGTGTAATTATTTTGGGAATAAGCTAGCCGGGATCCGGGTGGGAACGCAGCCCACCGTTCCTTCCTTTTACATAGTCTATGTAGTGAGATCCTGTCTCAGAACAAATAAAAGTTTTTCCTTGGAATATCTAAAAACAATAGCAATATTTAATAGCTATTGGAGTTAATGAAGGGCATAGTATTTATCTGTATATTGTTGACTTGTATTTTCTTAGGATATAAATGGTCTGCTTCATCGTTCTCTGCTTAGTGGCTTCATTAGAAGCCATACTTTGTTGAAGGTATAACACTTATATACCAGGAATTCCTTTTTCTTTATTTAGAAGTTGAAATCTACTTAATCCCTCTACAAGAGTAATCAGAAACATGTTGAAGTACAATTGATTGGGGGCAGTCAGTCTCAGCAACAAGAATTTTTCTTTACCCTTCTCCCCAACTTGAATTCAAGCTTCAGTTAGGCTGATAGCAGCATCCTGAAGATTCTTCTAGAGCTTAAGTCACTCTCTGCTGCTGATAACAAACTTTATTTTTAAAGAGATCAGTTGGTTGTTGTTTGGTTGGTTGGGTAGTTGATTGTATGGTTGGTTGTTGTTGATCGGTTGTTGATGGTTAATTGGGTGGTGGTTGTTTGGGTGTTGTTGATTGGGTCGTGGTTGGTTGGGTGGAGGGATGGTTGGGTGGATTGGATGATTGGCTATTGTAGGTTGGTGGCTTTGGCATTAAAGGATTCCATTTAGTGAGCAGTAGTTTAATTTTTTTATGTTGGATAAATGATTACTTAACTGAGATTGTAATGGAACTTTCTTATGAAAGCTTGGCCTTAGCCTAGGCTTGTTCCCAACTAGCTCTTAAAACTTAACCATCTGTATTCATTTACATTCTTCCATGTGGCTCGTTACCTCTCCTCATTACTGTACGTCCTACTTCCTCTGCATCTGCCTGGCGAATCCCTCCCCTCAGATTCTTCCCACAGTTCCTATCTCTGCCCTGAAGTTCTCCCTGTTCTCTCCTGCCTAGTTATTGGCTGTGCAGCTCTTTATTAAACCAGGCAGGTGAGGAAGGACAGAGAAGACACATCTTCGCACAACTTATTACCTAAAGATGGGAATGTACAAAGACATTGTCACTTTAAAATCATTGTGTTGTCCGTCTGTCCCGTTGCAATCTGGTGACCATCTGCACTCCCTGATTTCCCGTGACCACCAGTCAGACCCATCCCAAGATAGCTGCTGGTTCTTGTATTTTGTCATAATTTCAAAGTTTGAAAGACACATGCAGCAGGCATGTTCCCAGGAATCTAGAATGAAGTCCTCTGGAAATGCATTCCCTGTCTGGTACAGATGGCGTTCAGCTGCCAGGGCTCACCCATCATCCTTCAGGGAATAGAGTTTTCCTTCTAACCCCATTAATTCCCCGATAGTCACGTTATGGTCATTGCAGGTGCATCTCCATGCGGGCTGTTATTTTCTCCCCTCCTAGGTGGTGTGTGTAGCCGCAGACCAGTACACCCTGCACACATTGTAGAAAGCTTTACCGCCTCCTCTAGACGGGACTGTATTCACAGGAGCCTTCAGGAGCTGTGGGTGCTTAAGTGAGACAGCTGGAGTTGAGTCGTGGTCTTAAATATAAACTACAAACTGGACTTTAAAGAATGAAAATGGAAAAAAAACTATATTTTTTTTTATCAAATTTGCCACTAAAATTAACTTTACCTACTTTTTCTGAATTGCTTCCGTGGCTCCCATCACGTCTCTCCTGGACAGTGCTGTCCTCAGACGATGGAGAATGGATCTTTTTTCCCAGACTTCATTCCCCCAATATTCTTCCGTCTAAACTGTACAGGGTTGCTGTTACTACTTGCCTGATTAGAACCTGGGGCCTGGCCTCTGAACCATTGTCTAGCACCGTGAATGTCTTGGCAATGTCCTACCTGATACCACTCAGAAAAAGTTGAGTTTCCCAGCAGGAATGAGACCATTGCCCTTACGGGAGAATGTTGTGTTCAACAGTGAAGGAATGACTTGAGCATTGGGATGTCCAAAAACCCTCATGGGCCTTCAGCTGTCACCATTAACAGTGAGCGCCATGAAGTGCATGCTCAGGAAGAAACCCTGTTGTTTTGTAAACTGTTACGTATTTACTACTTTGACCAATAGCACTATAATATGTATGTCTATCAGAATAAGGAAGAAACAGACTTGACTGGCTGGATTTTATGACTGCTGGAAATGCAGTTGATATATAATCCACATTAAAGCCATGGCACATTACACTTGCTTTACAGTTATTTTAATATATGTATAAAAGGCAGGAAACTGAGATCCTAGTGGAAGTTATGTTCTAAGAACATGTAATTTAGAACATACCGTGTGTGTGTGTGTGTGTGTGTGTACAGCAAATCCAAAGCTCTTTTAATAAAAATGTCTATGGAAGACATTCTAGATTTGAGTTTGAACCCTGAAAATTCTTGAAACGACACATTTTGAATTTCAAACCAGCAGCTGCAATATTGTACAATTTGCATAAATGGACTGCCTAAGCAATAAAATATTTGCCCATCTCAGAACTACTCTCTGATAAACCACCAACTTCATCTTAATTTTTAGGAAACCACAATTCAGGCCGTAGAAAAGGACCCAAGGAGAATCCATCACTTCTCTGTCGTCAACACTGTGGCCGGGCGAGCTGTGACTCACATCTTTGCTGCGGACAGCCTAGCGGACCTTCAGGAGTGGATGGGTGCCTTCCGGCAGCATTTCTTTGATCTCAGTAAGCAGATATTTGTATTTTCTAGTAGTGTGTTCACAAGGCTTGGGGAGCTGGACACAGCAGTCCAGATATTAAAATGAATTTTTGTGCCAGGGATGGTTTTCCCCCGAAAACCATGTACCACAAACCTTTTCCAGATAACCAGCATCCATCCTGAGATCATAATGTTGGAAAGAGTCTCCTTTTTAGTCACCGGCTAACTGCAGGTCTTTCGTGATGGCATCTCATGCTTCATCCAGAGACGAGTTTTAGCCCCACGCAGGTCCTTTTCTATCTCAGTAGCACAGTCTAGTGCGGTGCCTAAAGTACATGAGAGTCTCGGGGTTCACTCCCCATTCATGGGAGTCTTGCTCACAGGTAGATTCTTGGCCTTAGTGATAAACCAAGCAGCCTACATGTTATCTGTGATTTTATTTTGAAAATGGAGTCTGTTGACCGTGGCTGTTTCTGATCCATGTAAGCCTCCTATTGGAGTCAGCCAGTCTTTCACGTCTACAGAATGCTACAGATCTGTGCCATAGAGTGATTTCTAGACGGCTGTAAAGAGGGGCACCTGCTGTCGGCTAGCAGTTCCCAGGCCTGCTCTGCTGGGCAGGTGCCAGGGGTGGGGGAAGGTTGGGGAGGAGACAAATAGGTCATGAGTGTGAATATAGCTTGGGGCTCCATGGCCCCGCATGCTTCTCGCAAGGTCCTCATGTGGTAAGCTGCTTGGCTTTATTCTCAAGATGAGAAAAGTGAGACCCAGAGAAGCCTGTGTTTGCAGCATTGAACTAGGGGAGCCCTTCATGGCATCTTCCTTAAGCACCATCCTGAGGCACGTCCGTAAAGGCCTAAGTTCTCTGGGTTTGCGGCTGTCCTGAGTTTCTTTTTGCTGAAGTTACTGCAGACCGTGTGTGCATGGATGACTTTGGTAACAGCGTACATTCTGAGTAAAATTTCAGTTCCTTAGCCTAAGAACTGAAAGAAGTTCTTAGAGTTCTCTTAAGAGTGGAAGACTAAGAAGAAGTTCTTAGAGTTCTCTTAAGAGTGGAAGACTGAGAGACCGAGCTAATCAGGACTCATGAAGAAGCGGTGATGGATATCGATGTGCTTAGCCAGAATAGCCATGGTATAGAGGTGAGGGGCAAGGGGGATATAATTGCTGCCTTAGTATTTGAGAGTTTAAAAAAGAGGCATGACCCTTGTTCTACAGTCAGTAGCTAGGAATGGTGGACCAAAGAGCGAATGTTTAAACAGACAGGGTTTTTTTCCCCAAACATTTGCTATAAATACTGAGTTCCAGGAACAGCTCAGCACAATAGATCATTGTACTAGAGACCATGAACAATGAGCAGTTTGGTGGAGACAGCCAGGCAGACAGCAGGTAGTGACACTCACCATGTAGCCTGACAACCGCAGTTCCATTTCTAGGATCCCTGTGGTAGGAGAGAACCAACTCTTCCAGGTTGTCTCCCTGACCCCCACAGATGCCACGGAATGCACACGCTTACATACACGTGTGTGCATGCTTACACACACACTGAATATGTGTAATAAGGTCACATAGCATTGTGGGAAACCCCCTTCTCTCTAGAGCAGGTTGTCTGAACACAGTGTATCCTGCCTGATATTTACCCCGTGTTAACACAGCAGCTATCATGGATTTCTACGTACAGACTTAGTCATGGCAGAACGCTTCCGGTGTGAAACCACCTCTGACATCAGGAGCACATGGGGTGGTTCAGGGTTGTGTGCCCATCTTCAGTGTGGTTAGTGCTGTCTCTAGTACAGCTCCCAGTGCAGAAATCATGGTGCATCTAAGAACGTGGAAAGAGAAATGCTGGCCCATTTCAAATGAATCAATATTTTTTTTATTAAATACGATGTTTCTCCCACTGCCACAAAGATGAAAACAAATGAGTCTTATATATTTATCTAGAAAGGAAGGAAGTGTGTAAGAGTTCAGCTCCAGCTTCTGGATTCCGACCCTGAGGAGGAACCTTTGCAGCCCTGTCCTAGGGGGTGGGTGTCTGTTTCCTGTTGGTGTGCTGTGTGATAATCGGCATCATAGTAACCACCCCCACCCCCCGGAAGGCTTTCGATGTGTCTTAACTAGTTATGGTAATGGATTCAAAACGTAGGCGTTTATCACAATGTGCCATGACAACAGAATGAATATGTAAGTAAGTAGACCTGAAATGTCATTAACATTTTCAGCCATGGAAAACTGTCATGTTGGACAGATTGAATATCCACGTTGAGACTATTAGAAAAAGAATAAGTCACCCGTAGGAGGCATGCAGTGTGTCTTCCCTACCTTTCTAGTGATGCGAGAAAACGGGATTGTGAGCCCCGTGACTTCTGTGACATCACTGGATGCTCACGTGGTAGGCAGGAATGCAAGTCAGAAAATACCAATCCTTTTTTTTTTCTATTCACAGAGAAGAAAGTCTGAAAACCTTAAGGTTTTAAATAGCGAAGCAATGAAAGTAAACATTGATAATGCCCACACCTTGGTATTTTAACTTAACAGTTGAGCTATTAAATAATTCTTATTTCTTAATTAAAATATCCAAATTAAAAGTCTATGAGGACTTGAATTCTGTATTCCTCCTTCCGTCTGACTCCTGGATTGCAATGGGGTTTGTCTTTCAAATGTCTTGAATCCTGGATGTTTTCGTCTAACACGCAGGGTGGAAGTTGTGTGCACTTTGACAGTGAATACGACGTTTAATGTGCTTGCGGCACTAACTGACGGCCTGGGGCTCTTCCTCTCTACCCAGAACTGTGTCTCTCTTAAGGAATCACTCATGAAGAATCAACTTTGTGAATTATACCAGGTTTTTATACAAGCTTCTCGAAAGCTATACTTCATTGATACATTTCCAACATGCGCACACACACACACACACACACACACACACACTCTGCTGACGATATTGGCAGAAAATGAAATGCATGGCTTTACGTTTATATTTCAAACTAGCCTACTTCTTTCTCTTAGGCCAATGGAAGCATTGTTGTGAAGAACTTATGAAAATTGAGATTATGTCGCCACGGAAACCACCTTTGTTCCTGACAAAGGAGGCGACCTCCGTGTACCACGATATGAGTAAGTAGGGCTTGCCTCTTCTGAGCCGCAGGGCGACAGAACCAGCATTGTCCACACACCAGCCGCTCATTCTATTGACATTAAAATGCTAAAATTTTCAGGGCACAATCAAATTGAATAATAAAAAAAGACCATTATTATAGACGGAGGACCTCATGTTTAATAGATGAATTAATACAAAATTAATGAACGCATATTTTTCATAGTTCAAATGCTCACGATCAAGCAGAAAACTTCAGGCTTAAAAGAATAAAGTACTTAGCTTTATATGAAGTTCAGAAAATGTGAACAAACAGATCCTAAGATGTGGTCACGTTCAGTCGTTTTCTGGGTTTGTTCTTTGTTCGTTGTTTGTATTACTGATAAAGACATACTAATGAATGGAAGTGTTCATTCCTGATCAAAAACAACTATTTACATCTAGTTCTTAAGAAATTTGTCTGTCTTAAATTTTTCCATTTCACTCCCAACACTTTGAATTGGTGTTTGATCCTGTAGGGAGGCCTGTGGGATGATTGCTAGCACGCTTATCTGGACGGTAGTGTCAGTTTATCCCACTGCTAATGCCCTTGCAAGGGCGTGTGCGTGTGTGTGTGTGTGTGTGTGTGTGTGTGTGTAACGATCTTAGGTTCCAAGTGATGACTTTAAAGTATCACATCACAGATTTAATCAGCAGACATTTATCGCAGTTTCTTTATTTTTCCCAAGGAAAATTTTACCCAGCATCTTTATCACCAAAATAATGTGAGGGTTTCCAGCTCTTGCCCTGGGGCTTTGGTTTTGGGGGTGAGGATTGTCACGTTTTGCTTTGTCTTTCACCGTGAGCAGAGACTTCAGAGGTCGACAGATAAAACTACTGACTCATCACCTCCATCCCTCTTTATATAACGAACTTCCTAGTGGGCAAAATAAAGGTTATTATACAGAAAAGTTACTGTATAATAAATATTTAAGCTAAAAGAATTCAAGAAGCTCTTATATGTGTCCATCTGTGTCCTGTATGTGGGAGCTTACGTATTTCTCATATACTGTGGGTGTTGTATATATATTTAGTATATAGTACAGTACATGGTAGCCTTGTTTTGGGGCTCTCTAAACAAGGTCAGTTCTACATGTTTTTATTACTTATGCTCCCAAGTGTTTGATAGTCACTGTAAGCAGCATGCTGCTTTGGACGATAATAATAACTTATATGGCTAAAGTACATGTGACTGTTGGATATTTTTTTCCTATGAAGTTTCTTCTTAAAATTCTTGTAGGCATCGATTCACCTGTGAAACTTGAAAGCTTAACTGACATAATACAAAGAAAAATTGGAGAGACGAACGGACAGTTCCTCATTGGTCAGGATGAAGAATCCGCACCACCCCCGTGGGCCGCAGTCTTTGATGGCAACCACGAAATGGTCATCCAGAAGAAAGTAGTGTCCCCCGCAGGCCAACCGGCCCCTGAAGGGAAAAGGAAAAAGAGGCGAGCACCACTTCCTCCTCCTGACCAGCCTCCCTTCAGCGTAAAGACACAAGGTGGTACAGATCAACCCAAGGACAGCAGGACCCAGGCCAGCATCTCCGGAGCCTCGCCTTCAGATCCCAGTCTGTCGTCACAAATGCACCCCTTCCAGAAACCGGTGGCTGCCCCTCGCAAACTTCTCCCTGCCAGGAAGAACAGTTCAGCTGATGGTGAGCACACAGACACAAAAACCAGTTTAGAAGACAAGCCAGTGCCGGCTCCAAGGCAGAAATCCATCAGAGACATTCTGGACCCTCGATCATGGCTGCAAACACAAGTGTAGGCCTTCTGTACTGTCTGAACCGAGCTGTAAAGCTCAGGTCAGAGGCATTATGCGTGTAATGTTATAAAATTGTATAGGAAAAGACCATAGTAATTTCCATAAACCGTTAATAAGCTATTAGATACAAAAAGGTACCTTTTAATAGAGAATTGGATTTCTTTTTTACTTCTCATTTCCAGAATATAAATGATCCCCCCCACCACCCCCAGCAAAGACACAGTTTCTAGACAGTATCCTAATTGTTGGGAGGGCTAATTTATTCCTAAGTTAGTAGCAGGCGGTGAATAAGCAGTAGGCAGAGGAAAGCACTGATGTTTCTTTTGGAGAAAGATTGTCTAGTAATGTAGAATGTGTTAAAGACAAGCCGTGTTCTCATTGTGAGAATTTTAATACTTGATGGAATGTTTCAAAGGTTTTATTCAAACCACAAATTACAGAATCCACCCAAGAAAATTTCCCCCTCAGTTCTCTGGGATCCTCATCTCACGGGCCGCTGCCTCCCCTCTCTTGTTTCCCTTGGTGGTTTATAGGCTTGACCTTTTAAATTCCTGGGATACATTTTAGAATATTAAATTCTTTGTCTTTAAAGGGAATGTGTAATCTGCTCCTCAGCGTCATTTCTGTGATGAGCCCTGAAATCCTGTTGACTCCGCCGCTCCTCAGCAAGGCGCGCACTTGTCAGTGAGGGACGTGGATGTGAAATGGTCCACTCTGCTCCGCTGGCTGTACCGTGATAATCCCCACTGTACCCTCTAGAATTCAGGGAGGCAAGTAGCTCATGGGGTACTTATTTTAAAAAGCAGATGACAGATTCAAAATTTATCAGAAAAGTTGACCATACTCATTTTCAGAATTAATCCTTTTTCAATTTTTAAATTAGATTTCCCTTTTTGAGTAAGAGTTGATGTCTGTTATTGATATTATTCATGAAAAGTCATATTCAGTAATCACGTTGGCATCACTTCCATAGGAGGGAATTAACAAAGCAACTAATCATAGTGACCTAGACAGGATTATGAGTTGAATGGGAGATAAATAACAAGAGGATGAATATCCTAAATGGACAAAAAGAAAAATCCACTTTTAATATCACTTTTTGGGGTTTTTTGTTTGTTTCTTAAAGTAACTTTTTTATTTTTATTTGGAAAAAATATCCTCATCTGGAAAAAGGAGCCCAAAACAAGTAGTAACCCAGAGTTCTACTCGGGAGGACACTCCCAAGAAGGAGGATGAGCAGAGCCCGCTGCTCACCCCAACTGTCATGTCCTAGTCTCTCCGGCAGCAAAGTGAGCATCCCCAGGCACAGAACCTCACGTGCCACATTTTGGTTAATAAGATGTGCCACAAAATTTGAAGCAGTCAGGCAAAGTTGCTTACCATTCTTTCGCTATCCTTCCCAGAACTTAAGAATTAGGCTCTTGAGGATTAGTTCTCCACAATCTGGGGATTTTGAGTTGACCACAGCCCACAAAGCCGCATAAACACGAGTGAAGTGAAGAACCTGGCCAGCAGCCTCTGCCAGTTTTCTTGAAGGAGCTCTTGGTCTTGGCTAATCACACTTACATTGGAGATGTAGACTTTGTTACTGAGGCCATTGATTGATCCCTTCAGGGCCTCCCAGCTCATCCTCTGATAGGCTAGGCTGTCTTCATCTGTGATCTGCTCCAGCAACACCCTGAGTTTTGCGGGAGGAATAGACGCTCCCCCCTTCAGGTGAGCAGCGGATCCCTCTTATCCTCCTCCTTTGTGAAGGTCTTGAGTAGAACTCTGGGTTAATGCCTTCTCTGGGCTCCTTTTTCCAGGAGATGAGGATTTCCAGGACTATTTCGATCTGCGTCTCTTTCCCTGATTTTTCTTAATCCCTACCTTTGACTCCCGCTATCATCATGAGAACACCCTCTTCTTGAACGCTCAGAGACAGGCTGTAATCAGTGTAATCTCTATTCGGGGGGGGGGGACCTTGCTTGTTCTGCGTATCTGTCTTCTGGGGAGGAGTTCCGGGGGCGTGAACTGTGGCTCTCCCTTCTGTCGTGACCAGAGGAGTGTTTCGTGGGTGCCGTACTATTTTTCATTTCTCTAGTGTCAGTTGACCAAACAAACTGGATTCCTCAAGTTGGTTCCAGGAACAAGTCCTCAATGGTCTGAGTTCCTTGAGAATTTTCATTTTCTACCTCCACGCATCACCTCTGCTGAATCCGCAGACCAAAGGGGCGATCCTGTCCCGATGGATCCTCAGACAGAATGCTGTCTCTTCAAAACCTCAGATTGGATGTCCAGTAACCCTTTTTTATAAACGAGAACAGCAAATAATTTTAAAATGCCGTCAGCATTTCCAAGCAAACCTTGTCAGAAGGTGTCACCCTCGGTCCTGAGGCTCTAGGGACCTCCCACGCCTTAACTGTCCCTGTGCGCCATCAGGCTGTAGGAAGTAAACCTCAGCTAGAGCAGCATCAGAACTCCATCAGCGTGCAATGAACGCTGGACCAACAAAAGCATTAATGGAAACTTTCATCATTTTTAAGTAGCGGAGGGGGGTGTTTTTTTGGTCTGTTTTTTTTTTTTTTTTTTTTTTTTTTTTGCTGTCGTTGTTTTGTTTTTCTCTACACTGTGCTGTGACTGCCAGGCAATAAATGCACTATTACTTGACCAACACACCCAGGAACAGTGACTCATTAAGTCTCTCTCTGGGGTCGGTGACACCAGAGCAGACAGCCCCCTTGGTGAAGGTAGAACAATGGGTAAAGACTCCTACACCCATGGAAGTCTGTAAATTGATGTGGGTTTTGTTTTGTTCTTGTTTTTGTTTAACTGAAAGGTTCTCAAAAGTCTTGGTGGTGATCGCCATTTCAATAAACCAGACTCTTAAGTTATGTTATTGTTCAGAATGCCTTTTCCAAGCCCTCGCTGCTCTCTCCAGCAATGTCTATGAACTGTTGGTACCGCTTCTCTGTCGGTTTGTTTGCTTTTGTTTTTGTTCAGAGATGCTGCTGGCAAAATTACTTCTGGTCACTGGCACCCAAGTGTCCCCGCCCCCACCCCCCAGTGCCCTTCACCGGCTGTGTTCCTTTATTACAAGCCAGGACTTCAGTATACGCCTCGCCTTCCAATTTCTTGTTCAAGCTGCAACCAGAAGAGTTTGGGTTGCGCAGGACAGAGACACATTCCTGGAGATCCTAGAGGAGCCGTGTCCTCGGAGGGAGGGGAGCTTTGAACCAGGTCTGAAATCAGGCTCCTGCCCAGAGCCCCGTGAGTGTGAGTGACGCCCTCCCCAGCCCCACCCGTTTCCGGAGGATCAGCTCTGTGTCACTCTGCTCCTTAGGTGCTAGTTCACCTGCACCCTGCCCCGCATAACAGAAGTTAGGACAGAGTTGCTTTTTCTTTCTTCCTCCTCTCCTAACTCTTCCCACCTTCCCTCTCCCGCTTCTCTCTTTCCCTCACAACCCAAACATATCTGAAGATGCTGACTTAAGAACTGCCGAGGAATTTTTTCCGAAGGACTTTCTCGTTTACTGAGCTACACCGACCAGCGATGGAGGGGCGTGCCACGTGACGTGAAAGGTGCCACCGCTTTATGAGAACTGGTCCTTACATGTCCTTCCAGTTCACTTCACATCGTGATAGAACTGTAATTGGGGACACTTCATAGAAAATAGCTATTTTAAATTACGGTACTTCTGATGATGGGGCGCTAACGCCTTGGGCAATTGCATCCGCATCTCAAGGTCTAGGGTATAAATTACAACAGCATTTGCAGTGGTATCATTTTTAATTGCTGCAAAAATACAGTAATTTTCTCATTTTAACATCTTTCAGAGAGAGAGAGAGAGAACACTTTTTTATATATAATGTAAATACACTCTTTTCAGACTGAAACCTCTCAAAATACCAAGCACGGCAGCGCTTGCTGACTTCACGACATCTTAACTGTACTCCTCCATACACCGCTCTTTTCAGACAGATATGGCTGCATGTGGAAAACTCCGCCCATTCCTTATCAATACCCGCCCCTGCCCTTTAGGATAAAATATCTCTCACTTGGTACTGTTTGTTAAGCATGAATCGGAGCTGTCTTGGCTTGGAGACAACCTGTGTAAGGTAGGTAGGTAGGTAGGTGGCGATATCCAATCTTTTAGGGACCTCAGTCACCTACTGTGAAGTTAATGAGTTCAGCCCAAAATGAAATTATAGGGGCGTTTGGTGTAGTTTATGTTAAATGCCATCCAAAGGCAGTCATCTGTGCAGCCACAGCAGGGACAGCCATGTTAGAGAGGCAGCAGATGCTCGGAGCAAGGGGGGAGGGGGAGAGAAAGACGGAGGCTCTGCGGTGAGATGCATTGCCTGGTCAGAACTTCCAGAACTCGTTGCTGTGTTCGAGAGTGGGCTGATGGATAGCAGTGAGGCTGTAATTAATGACCATTTGCATCCTGGCAGTTAAGTTTCAAAAGCATTTCTATTTTTAAGTGTGTGTGTGTGTGTGTGTGTGTGAGAGAGAGAG